AAAACAGCAATCAGTCTAACGAAGATACAGGCATCTCTCTGAGAGATTGGGGGGTCCTCTCACCAAAGGCGACGCAGGGTACAGCCCGATCGCAATGACAAAGGTCGCTCCGTATTTGACGCCAGGGAGATCCGACCCGAGAAGCATCGAGTAGCCCGTGGCGACGAGGATGCCGCCCGCGACCATGAACGGCGCTCTCATCCCGGCTTTGTCCGAGAGGCGGGTGACGAGCAGGACGCTGAAGAAGCCCAGCACGTTTGGTGGAGCGGTCAGCAGCTGCGCGATCGTCGAGGTGTATCCGAGAGAGTGGACGATGGTAGGGAGGAACAGGGCGTAAGCCTTTTTCAACCATTGTCAGTCCCGGCGTGTCCCATAACTTTACCAAAAATGACTGAGGCAGGGAGAAACGCACGTAAAGAGGCACAATGATCATCATGTAGGCAACAGAAGTGAGCCACGGCAGCGGGCAGAAGAGTGCTATGCGCACCCAATGCCATGAAAACTTCTCTTCCTCGACTGTGGCCATTCCGTTCGCCGCCCGCGCATCACCATAGACTCGCCTGTGCGCGACGACCCGCTCCTCTGGCGTCAGGAATTTGGCGTGCGTGATACTGTCTGGCAGAAACATCGCCGCTGTGATTCCAACAAGGACCGTCGCGGACTATTCATGGGATTGAAGGTTAGCTGGAGAGTTGTTGTTGTTGAGAGCATCCCCTTTCGCACTTACACCTTCGACAAAGAAGATCCAGGGCCACTCTGGAAGATGGGTCAGTGCATGGTACTGGTTCACTAGGGGGTATCGCGTCTCACTCTGGTAAGATCCGACCTCAATCTTCGCAAGGCCGGAAGCGAGTAGGCCACCAAATGCACTGCTCAATGGAGCGGCACAGTAGAAGAGTCCAATCCGGTAAGCCATCTCACTACGGCGATAGAACATGGCAAGGTAGATGAGGATGCCCGGAACGAGACCCCCTTCAAAGAAGCCCAGGAGAAGGCGACCTGCGATGAGACCGCCCAAGCTCTTCGTGAAACCGGTAAAGGTGCTTTGAGAAGTTGTATCAGCCAAACTGTGTAAACAAGACCCCCTCCCAAAACTCACCAGACAAGACCCCAGCCGGTGATGAGGGCTGGCAGATAGAAGCCCGCGCGACAGTACTTGACGATCCAGTTTGACGGTATGTCGACCAAGATGTAGGGGATGTAGAAGAGCATGAGGGCCAGATTGTACTGGGTGCCCACGAGTTTGAGATCCTGCGAGATGCCGGCGATGTTGGCGTTGCCGATGCTGCTGCGGTCGAGGAACGAGAAGAGCCAGATGGCGAACAGCCACGGCAGGATGTGTCGGTCGAACTTGTGCCTTATGCGTCCGTCGATCTCGGGATCTGGATCCTCAAGCAGTTCCAGTGACTTGATGGACACCTTGAGGTCCTCTTCGTGGACGGCAACGGGCGTGTCGCCATGTGGCTTGTCTCCTCCATGTGTGGTGGTGGTTGCGGTGGTGGTGGTGGTATCCATTTGATGGAGCCTGCTCAATCGAGGTGTAAGGGTGCGTCTCGTCTATCGCAGTCGTCGAATGGATGGGAAGTTCCTGAGTGACAAAAAGTGAGAGGGGGACAGGTGAGACGCAGGAATGTTGCAGGGGGGAGGGGGAGGGCGTCTCGTTAAGACGGAACGAGGGCGATCAATGCCCTTTTGATGATATCTCAATGCACACCCGACTGCCGTGTTTGCGGACCAAGCGATGGCCGCTTCAGCCGACATCTGTGGGAATCAGTCTCCATATCTCTACACGTAGCAACAGACCGGTGCTGTGGGCTAGCATAGTTAGTGACTTGCGTGCTTGCCTCTGTACCGTGCGGCGGAATTCCTGGTGTGCAAAACCTCAATACCCCGACGACTAGCCCGGCATATGATCCAGCCAAAGGACTCGCTATTCTAGCTTGTGGCCAGAATCGCGGGATCTCACACCCCAGACCTTGCACAGAATGTTGCTAATGTCTACATGCGCAGCCGGCCAGTATACCTCGGAGACCTCGGAGGCCTGTAGAGACATAGTGTGGATTTTGAACCTAAAACTCCGAAAATGGAAATCTCACATTGGCACTGGTCTTCTATATGCTCATATCTAGATCTAGACTCGGCCAATTTTCGGTAAAGAACTTGTCAAACACGGGCCACTGTAGGTCTGGAATCGGGGTCAGGTTCAAGTCGACCAGGTCTAGTTGGTCGCTATCCAAGCTAGGAGCAAAGTCATCGAGGATATGGTTGGTGTTTTCATCCCCTGTAGAACCAGTCAGAACAGCTTGATCGAGGTTTTGCCAGGGAAGTCAGTGTAGAAAGGGGGGAAGGGTGCAGGCATACCATGGTTGTCTCCATATACATTGCTCTGGCCGCCAAATTCCTGCCGCCACCACCAGAAGCAGTCGTAAACCATGCTCATCCCAAGTCTAGCTTTGCTTCTGACCCTAAGACTGTCCACAAGGCCGTTCGAATACTGGAAAACCTTCCTGCTGGTCCACAATTGGGTGAGAATGATACTGAAACGAGCAAAGGCGTCGTCTGGGCGCACGGCGTGTCTCTTGTGGTAATTGATCACAGCAAAATAGTTCCGTTGCCCGCGCTCCAGATCCAGCTGTTGAGCGACCGCAGCTCTTCCCACACGCAGAATAGTGATCACTGCGCTGTGCAGGAACTTTGTGATATACATGGGGCCGTATTCAGCCATGCTCAGCTCTGAATCTAGCTCCATGGCGAGCTCGATCGTCCTGCAAGCAAGCTCGTACATTACCAATAGAGTCGAGTCTTCAATCGCGGTTCGGTGTTTGAATAAGTGGAAACTTAGGAGATGAAGCCGGGCAGACATGGCATGAAACCGATCTGCTCGGGTCAGTTTACGACAGACGCAAGAGAAGCACAGATGGGATGCGTTGATATGGACGTACCTATGCGCTCTGGCGCGTCTGATTCTAGTTGGACCAGTCGATCGGCAGCCGAGTGAATGATGGGACTAAGCGCAAGGTCCAACTCGTCTGCAGGCTTGTACAGCGCGTGATTCTGGATGTATAGAATGGTCATGCTGAGATATTCGCTAACCTTCTTCTGGAACTGGAAACTCGGCGCCATGAAGGTACTCAACTCCTGAGAGTCGTCGCCATACGTGTCGGGAATCACCAAGGGAGGTGTCCCATTGACTGTAATTACCCTGCTCCAAATTCAGAGCCGTAACACTTTTCAGCGGATGGGTGGAACCGACCTTTGCGAGACAACTACACATGCCGCCCACAGCCTGCCACGTGCCATGCGGTAGGTGAGATCCTGATTCACTTTGGTGCGTGCAAACTCTTGCCCCACGCCCGAGACGTGCAGACCGATGGTGGTAGCCAGTTGCAACACCGCTCCAGCGAGGACTGGGGTAATATCGTTGCTCAATGCTTCAAAGGGCATCGGCCAGGAGCACAACAGCAGGAACGCCTGTATGGTCAGAAGCACAGGTTCCTGCGCGAACAAGGCCAGCTTGGCCAACTTGGAGACTTTGGGACCAAGTAGGATGATCAGTGTTGGATTCTCGCTGTATTTTCGGGACCCAACCGCGATGATGGTCCAGAATAGGAGGGGCGACTGTTGATGACATTCATTGGGAGTCATGAGGGTCTCGACCATGGGCACGTAAGCCATACAATGATGTTTGAATCTGCCACAAGCTCAGTCTTGATGTGCCATACTCACAAGGCTTTCCAGGCTTACATGGCGAAGCAGTTGTCGATGTCCCGCGAAGTGATTTGAAGTTCATCAAGACTCCGAGGGAGTGTCTGGGGGCTCCGGGTGGAAATTGCAGGGAGATCTCTGGCAGGCTCATGGTTGAGGGGAGGCGGGAGCGATGTCGATGGAGGTGTTGGAGCGATGACACTTGCAGTCTCCTGTCCTTGGATCGGCGCAAGGTATATTTGTGGTGTAGCAGCTGGAGGGGTGGGACTGACGACTGGAGGGACAGCCACTTCATGACCCTGGTTCGAGGGAGAGCTATTGCTGGAGGACAGATACAACTGCTTGCGCAAAGTGTCCAGCTGGTTCTGCAGCTCTGTCTTTCTGTGTCTCAATGTCAGTCTGCACAGCTTCAAACTGGTAACCGGGGGAGACTGACGTGGGACGTCGCTGTCGCCTGAATTCCTTTGAATAGACACATTGGACGCCGACCCGACGACAGCGGGAGCACGGCTCTGGGAAAGTATCAAGTCGGTCACACCGGATCTATGTATGCCCGTGTCAGAAAGAGCCGAATGGCGCAAAGCCCCAGGGGGAGGACACGGACACAACATACCTTCTGCTGCCGACATTCGGTACAGGCCATGGCTAGACCTTACAGTACAGTGTGTGAGATGCATTGGAGATTGGAGTGTAACGATTGGAATACTGGCGTGGTCACCAGGATAGAGGAATGTGGCCGGTGTGAGGTTCACTCGCGTGATGCCAAGCACTGTTTGGGCCAGTGGCAGGTACCGAAGATAGGGTTTATACATCTCCGACGTCGGGAGTTGGGTGTATAAAGGACACCAGCAGTGACAAGGCATGCAATACGCTGTACGAGAATCAAGACATTCATGCACATTCGGATATTCCAACCCCGCGTCCCCGCACCGGCCCTTCAGTCCCCGCACGTTCCACCCCTGCCCTGGCAGCCCTGGATTGCCTGCGCTGCCTGCGCTGCCTGCGCCCTCGTGGCCCCTCCACATTGGAAATTTACATACAGGAGTCGCTAGTACAGAGTACAAGAGTGCATATCAGCCACAGCGACATAAAACAAGCAACGCCCCAAAACCCAAACCAACGTCTTCCGAAACTCGGCCATCCCGACTCGCCACTGCGACCTTCGGTTCACCAATAGTAGAGACTCCAAAGTCCGGGTTTGAGATAAGCCAAGAAGAGAAGACGACAACATCCAGTCCACCTCAGATCCGCGTGTGTACCGGGAACTGCGAGTCGCTGCTGTTGCTAAACCCAGAATGTCGGACGCGGTGCAAGATTTCTACCAACGTCCGAGCAAAGTTACAACTTCGAATGGAGCCTCAATCAACTTCCACGCGAGGGGCTTGAGCAGTGTTTCGCGGGGTGATACAGTCCTGGTCCTCCTGCATGGCTATCCGCAGTCGTGAGTCATCGGGCTAAACTCGGTCCAATCTCGCCGTGCTGGTTTCTGGAGTGCTGACGTTCACAGGAGTTATTTGTCTGTACGCCACTCCCGTCTCAAGACTACGACTAACGTCTATTGGCATACAGGTTTCGATGGGTACAGCCTGGCTCTATCCTCTCAGCGTGCACAACCATACTGATGACTGGGCTCTAGTTGATACCTCTACTGCCCGCCAACCTCCCTCTTTTCGTCCCAGATGTATGTCGACGTCCAGACTTTGTGAAAGGAAGCGTCTACTGACCTCGCTGACCGGCTTCACCTGTAGCTTCCCGGTTATGGCGACAGCGCCGCCATTGGCTTGCAGCAGGATAAAAGGACGGTCGGCACTACGGTCCTGGACGCTCTGAAAAAGAGCCTCCCGAGTCAGGCAGATGAGCGCCCGAAGATTATCATCGCAGGACATGATCGAGGCGCACGGGTCTGCCATCGTCTCGCCGTCGATGCTGGAGATATCTCCTCGTTCGAGATAGTATCCGTGATCCTCCTCGATATTGTCCCCACGGCCGTCCAGTGGGACACGTTCACCAGCGCCAAAAGTGCCGCCTCCAGATTCCACTGGGCGCTCCTCGCAAATGTGGAGATCGCCACCAAGCTCATCGGTAGCCACGGCGGAGGCTCGTGGTGCTCGGAGCTGATCCACCGGTGGGCAGGCCGCAACGAACAAAGGAGAGCGAGAGTCTTAGATCCCCAAGCTCTGGCAGTCTACTGCCGTCATTTTGACAAAGAATCTGTCATCAGAGCTACTTGTGAGGACTACCGTGCTGGTGCCTTTGAAGATGACGACCTCCAGCGGGAAGATCAAAAGGCGGGCAACAAAATCAGGATCCCGACGTTGGTGGTGTACTCGGAGGCTTATATTGGAGCCACTTACGACGTGGAACCGATATGGAGAGACTGGTGCGCAGAGGGGACCAAGCTGGAAACCAAAGCCATCGGAGACGGAGTGGGACATTTTCTGCCCGAGGAAGCTCCAGAGGAGACGGCGGAGGTTATGAATACGTGGATCAAGCAATGGACACAGTAGTGATGCTTACTTCGCTGGACAACGGTAACTCCATGATGGCTTTCACAGTCATACTCCTTGTTGAATTGGGGAGAAAGATTCTAGTTGATGGAGTGATGATAGTATCCATCATATGAGGAGCTTTCCAAGAAGACGTTGTTGGATTACGTCTGCCATACTCTGTCCATCTGTAAGAACTGTACTCACCATGTTCCTGCTCAGCTACACTGCAGACACTTCCAGCGTATAATCAAGGATATATTCGAGGGCCATGTGGGAAAACATTCTCGAGTCCTCCGTCAGTGTTACAATGGAATAGCGTGATATGCCCGTCAACACCTGATAGAGAGATGTCCGATCGCACTTGTACAAGTCCGAGCATCGGCGTCAGTGACCAATCAACAGAAAAGCCTTGTCCGGGCCGCAATCGGCGCCGATGTCAACTGGACCAATCACATGGGTGCCATTAACCTCGTCCGAGCTAACGCTCACCTCCTCACCTCCTCTTCCTCCATCACTACAAGTCCTGAATAGCCAAGGGGCTGTCGATCAGACCTACCAATCTCGGGGGTTGGATCTGCTATGTCTGAGGCATCCGGCCTTTGGGGCATTGAGCAAGAGTCTGACAGAACCTTGACTGCTTATACGGCCCGGAGAGCGTATTGCTTGTGTGAGTAGACAGGTAGTCATCACTCCGAATGTTTCAAATGGTTTCGGACGCGATATATTCCTTTTGTTTGTTTTGCCCACTCTCTCTGCTTGCTGTCTACCCAACGTCTAGAGGCAAGCGTTCGAATTCCAGCAAGGTGAGCCTTTCTGAGAAGGTTGACCATCATCAGACTCGTCCAAGTTTCTAGGAAATATGTCTCCCCCCACAGGACCCTTGTCAGCCATCGACGCCACTGCACCCAGTAAACCCGATGGCATCACGGGTCAGTTGTGCACCTGGATCACGAGCACCAAACTGTCAGATATCCCTGACCATGTTGTCGAGCGGGCCAAATACCTGATCCTCGATGGCGTTGCCTGCGCACTCGTGGCCGCGCATCTCCCCTGGTCTGAGACCGCCGTCAAGGGCGTATGTACCATGGAGCCCGAGGGCGTCGGCCAATGCACACTTATCGGATGGGGGAAGGACAAGAAATTGCCCCCAGTGGCCGCGACCATCCTGAACAGTACATTTATTCAGGGGTTCGAGCTGGACGACTACCACTCCACCGCGCCGCTACACTCGAATGCCTTGTTGATACCGGCGTTGCTGGCATCGGTCGAAGCCGCACCCTCGAACTCTACTGAGGCGTCGCCGTCATCAGGAGCCGATTTCCTGCTCGCCTACATCGTCGGCTGTGAGGTTGGACCACGGGTTGGACTGGCACTACACGGTGCCGACTTACTCAGCCGAGGCTGGCATAGCGGCGCCCTCCAAGGCCCTTCAGCGACAGCGGCTGCCGTTGCCTCACTAGTTCGACTGTCAGGAGCACAGACGGAGTGGGCACTAGGCACGGCGTGCACCCAAACGGGAGGTCTCATGTCCGCGCAGTTCGGGTCGATGGCCAAACGAATGCAACACGGCTTCGCCGCGCGCAACGGCCTGTTCGCAGCGTTCATGGCCAAGCAGAACTACACGGGGATCCAGGAAGTCTTCGAGGTCCCCTACGGCGGCTTCCTGAGCTGTTTCAGCCAAGGTGCGAGCTTCGAGCCGAAATCTCTTCCTCAGGAGCTCATCAGCGGACTCGGCTCGCGCTGGGAACTCGAAGGGATCCGCGTCAAATTACACGCCGCCATGGCCGGCTTGCACGGGACGATCGACACCGTGGCGGGCCTACAGCGCGCGCATCCAGAGCTCTTCGCAGCGGAAAACCTGGCCAACATCGTGAGTATCGTGACGCAGCACGCCCGTCCGGCGTTCGAACACGGCGGGTGGATCGCGGACCCGACGCAGCCGCTGTCCAGCGTCGCGGCCCAGATGTCGATCCAGTACGCGGCGGCCGCGCAGCTCGTCGACCGCCAGGTGTCGATGGTGCAGTTTGGCGCGTCGCGGCTCAACCGGCCGCTGCTGCGCGAGCTGATGGGCAAGACGACGCCGACGCACAACGCCGCCTTCGACGCGACCAAGACGTTGCGCTGGCGCACCGTCATGACGGTCAAGTTCGCCGACGGCACCGAGGTGCAGGGCTCCGTCGAGGCGCCCCGCGGGATCATGCCGCCCGTCAGCAACGACGACATTGTGCACAAGTGGCGCGAGTTGACGGCCGATATCCTTGACGATAGCAGACGCCACGCCATCGAGAAGTGTATTCTCTCGCTAGAAAAGATTTCCGACGTCAGAGACCTCGCGAACCTGCTGGAGGAGCCCGTCAGATGTCCTATCGACGTCTAATCGTCTAATCGTCCATCTCAGCTGGCCGTGACCGTGGCCGTGGCCGCTAACTTGATTATACATAGATCCTGCTGGTGCTGGTGCTCGGCCTGGTGTTGATAGTGGTGCTACCGCTGCGCCAGGAAAAAAGACCCAGCAGAAAAGAAAACATCGAATGAACTGTACTGGCTCACTCCCGTCTTTGGCGAATGACCTGGTGACATATTCATACCCAGGCTACTCTTTGGTGAATGATCTAGTCGTACAGTCATACATACATACATAGAGTATTCCCCAGGGTTCTCTGGGTGTGAAAGACCCAATAGAATGGAAAAAAAACTATCCCTCTTGTAACTCCTTGTCAATGCATTTCTTGTCTATTCTGTTGTTCTGAGACTCTTCCTTTGGTGGATTTTGAAAGGAAATCACTTCCGTCAATGTGGATCGCGAGAAAGGTCTAGGAGGATCCCCGTCGTACGATACTACGGTAGGTAGGTAGGTAGGTCGGTATGTAAGTGAGTAAGCATCTAGGTAGGTAGGCAGGCAGGTAGGTAGGCAGGGATATAGGTGTGGATTGTTAACCGTGGCTTGTTCATTACAGTGTCCGTCACACAGACAAGTGCCGGCGTTGGATGAATATGTGTCTGTGTGCAGAGAGACAGTGGAAGAGTTATCCGATTTTGCTATCTCTCTCGACCGGCGACATAAGCACTCTGTGGGCGGTGTGGCTATATACAGGGCGGTGTGACCCACATCTAGACGTTGCATTGCCCAGGCTTGGGACAGCACACACACACAGAAACACAGAAAGAGAGAGTGCCCTTGTCTTCTCCAGCTACAGCCCTGTTATCGCGAGTCGTTCACAGGATATACCTGAAAGCGAGGTGCTGGTCGCCCTCGTCCTCCAAGCTCCGCTCCACGTGGGGATGGGGCTCGCCTGCCGCGCGGTAGCGCTCTATCTCCGCGTCCTTGCGGCGGTTCTGGTACCGCATCCAGAAGATGTTGGAGGTGGCCATGACGATGGCGAAGGCCAGCATGCCCAGGACGATCGAGTGGCCCTTGACGAAGCGGGGCGGGTGGTCGTAGACGTGGGTGCCCATGATGGAGAAGCACTGGCCAAAGACCTCGGCCATGGCCCACGTGGTGCCGCGCTTGGTGAAGCCGCACGTGTTGATGCCCAGCCACGACGTGAGCAGGATCACGCTCGGGTACAGGCCAGCGGTGATCAGGCAGGTCGCGAAGATCAGCACGGGAACCGACCGCACGGACAGCAGGATGATGTACCCGACGCAAGAGACCGACAGGGTGAAGACCAGCAGCAGACCCTTGGTGTTATACTTGTCGGAGAGGAAGCAGATGGCAATCAGGAACACCGACGCACAAGCGTATGGGATCACGGTGAACAGCTGTGCCTTGTCTGGAGAGGTTGGATGGCTTGATCAGCAGCCGTCCTTGATGACTCGAGCGAAGAAACAGGCATGGAATGGAACAAGAGTCAACTTACCTGCAGAGTACCCAAAGGACTTGACAAAAGTCGGGAGGAAATTGCCCACAGACGCAATCCCGAGCGCCACGCCAGCGTTGATGGTGGCAAACATGTAGGATTTTGGATCCTTGAAGGTTGCCCAGATCTGTCGCACGTCGATATTTGCTCCCGTGGTGTTATAGTCCTTGGATCTCTCAATGGCGAGTTTGAGTTCGGCCTCGCTAAACAGCCATGTCTTGAGCTTCTTCATCCGGTCGGCAAAGTTTGGGATGACAAGAATGACAGTGGTGCCCACCGCCACGGCCAGGACGCCTTCGATGATAAAGAGCCACCTCCACGGAGCGAGTCCAGTTTTTTCGAGAGTCAGGTGCCTCTGAATGCCAAATGATATGAAGCCTGAGAAGGCGCCAGCCAGGGTGGCAGCAGAGTAGAAGACGGCTGATTCGACATGTCAGCTCGGGCGAGCACGAAACAAGATGTAGGTATTGACTCACCACTTCGAGAGGCCAGCTCGTTTCTTCGGTACCAGAAGGACAAGTACAAACCCAAGCCTTGAATGAAGGCCTGGGCGCAGCCGACGAAAATTCGGAGGGCCAGGACCGTAGCATAGCCCTGAGCACCGCCAATCCCGGCACAGAAGGCACCAAATGTCAGCACGCCGCCGCCAATCAAGGCTGGTGCTGTGACCCAGGGCAGTCTGAGGCAGATATTTCCCGGAAACATGCAAATGATGTAGCCGACAAAAAACATGGTCTGTTGTCTCGAGCGTCAAACTCATTAGCTCTCTGGTGCAGAAAAGTGCGATTGCGGTCAACTTGCCAGGCAATTGTAGAACTGATTGGGAGTGAGGGATAGGTCCTTTTCCAATCCCATCAAGCGAGCATTGCCGATACAATTTCGGTCGAGGTAAGCGACAAAGTAGATGAGCGAAGCCAGGGGGACGAGGACCGCATCCAGCTTGATCACCAGTCTTCTCTCCTCCCGTGGATGGATCTGGGTATGTTCCTCGTGTCCGGTAAAGGCATTATTCGTGATAGAAATTTCCTTTGGGTCTGTCGCATCTTCAAGCATTTCAATGTTTGTACCAAGACCATGTTTGGAGAGGTCGGGACTGGTTGAGTCTTGCATGTTGGGGGAGTGGTTTGTTGGCTATTTCTGGAATTGCAGGAGAGACGACGCGCTGAAGATAAAAGGAAATATGTATGGGATCAAACACATACCTGAAAATGAGGATCTTATACTCGATCGCGCACAAGCTACCCAAGCTGGGGTGACCTGCCATGTCCGATATCATTCGGTTCCCCGAGTCTAGAGCTTCCCCAGAATATACCACCATATTTGTCCCGCAATATACCATTCCAGATGGGGGATAGATTCGTTGGAGAGGAGAGGATAATTGGCAAGCTGACCTTTGGAGATGGTGCGAGGGAGTCAAGTTTCCCCTTGACGCCGATGGCGATGATAGAAGCTCATCGGGCCGGTTTGCGGCATTGAATATGATTGGCTCATGGCTCCTTTCCCACTCAGCCTTGGCCAGCCACAGAATCTCGTCCTCCGCACTGAAGCCCCGGACATCCACCGTCCTTGCGGTCGCTCTCACTTCCATTCTTCCTTCTTACTCTGGCAACCCTATGCTTTGTGTTGAGACATCCAGATACCAACTGCTTTATCGGCCGGGTGTGTTTTAGCACAGTTTTTCCGGAGCCACTCAGGGAGCCTTACCGGAATGAGCCAGTCCCCATTCCACCCCAGCTTCAGTTGGCCGCAACATTGCCGACAAACGGATCGATGGGCATCTAGGAATGGACAATCAGCTGGACAATTCCAACTCGGCCTTTACAGGTAGTATTCGCCAGCTAGTGCCTCTGGCACCACGTGGCCACAATGAACCAGCTCCAGCACAACATCCAATACCTGGAAGACGCAAACGAGTTGCCTGTAGGGAATGTCGCCAGGGAAAAGTAAGTAGTTGCTACCCAATCTTTCGCGGCACCTAAGATCTTGATTGTGACTTCGTCGTCGTGTATCAAGAATTGACACATTCGCCAGTTACGATGTGAGAGCGCAAGCATTCACCAAGTGTGCCTACGATGTCGAGATCTCGGCTTGTCATGTGTTTATGACAATGATTACAAGAGACAAAACAAACGAGTGTGAGCCATGACCTCGATATTCAATGAAGTCTGCCGCACGGTGCTGATAAGGACAGAAAGCTGCGAGAACTCGCTGAAGAAGTCGAGCGACTTCGAGCAGCACAATCTCATGTCGGAAACATATCCCCACAAGCCGCAGACGATTCCTACTCGCCTCCGAACCACCAAGGAGCAGACTGCACAGTTCCGACTTCTTTTGAATCTCGGAGCGGCGCGGTGGCCTCGAACTCTTCTCCTGTCTTGCTAGACTCACAGCTTCACAACCCACGAGTTCCTGCTCCTGTACAGCTTCTCCCAGCAGCCGAGCTACAGACATTAGGCAGCGTAACCCTTTCGCCTGCTCAAATAGACAGGCTATTCAAGACGTGAGTACCGTCCGCATTGACGTTCGCAGTTACTCACGACGAAAACAGGTTCTTTTGCCAATACCACCCTTTTCTGCCTTTCGTCGAGGGCAGTGGCTCACCCGACCACTATCATGCAAAGTCCCCCCTGCTTTTCTGGACTATCATTGTCATCGCAGCGAGAAGAGATGAGGAGGAGCCAACTCTGCTCACTAGTCTTTCACCGGTTGTGCAAGGCCTCCTGTGGCAGATGGTACCCAGAGTTCCACATTCTCGCCCGGAACTGAAGGCGATGATCTTACTCTGTCTCTGGCCGTTCCCAACCTCTTCCATGAGCACCGACTCGTCGTATATACTAGCATCGGTTGCGAAGACCGGTGCGATGCACATTGGACTACACAAGCCATATTTTGTCCAGGATTTTTCACGCGTCAAATTCCGATTCAGTCCCGAAGAGCTGCGGGATGCTCTGCTGGTATGGTCGGCATGCTTCATAGCTGCGGAAAAGTACATCCTCGCCTTTGTCCCCTCTACAGAACTCATCTAACAGACTTGGTAGTATAACATCTTACATTGGACAGTTTCCTTTATTTGTCACCGACGCCACCCTCGACATGATCTGCACGTCTGAGAATCACGGCAATCTCCCTGTGGAAATTTACCAAATGGTTCTCATCACTCGGTTTTGCAATCGCTTTCACAGGGTGATGGCGAGCCGCGAACGACGAATGGCCAGCATCGGAGAGAATGACAACGGAGTCCTGCTGCCTCTGTATGAGTCTGAACTGAAGGATCTGCGGTGGATGCTCGGACCAGACTTGTCCCGTGAGTTACACTTTCACGCAGGTAATCTCTGCCGCACAGTTCTCACCTAGACGCAGCCACGAATGAAATTGTATTCCTCTATGCCACCCTCCAGCTCCGGAGCTACTATTTCCTAGAACGCTCCCACCATCCAGCACAGAAAGAGTACATTCTCAAGGGATATCGGGCAGCTCTGCACATCATCTGGAAATGCCAGGGGAGAGAGGTCGATGTTCGGTTGTTGACCTGCGGGCCGAAGATATTCACCCATGCCTTGGCCGTGGCTTGTAACTTTGCGTTGAAAGTCCTTCGGAGCGGCTACTATTCGCAATTCGTCGACGTGAACGAGGGAAGCAAAGCGTTCAACCTCGGCGTGGGTCTCGTCAAGAAGTGTTCGATCGAAGACAACGATCTGCAAGGGAGATACTCCAAGATTCTCGCGCAACTCTGGGCAGCCACGGCAGAGCCCGGCGGCCTCCATCCGGAGCTCAAGGTGAGAAGCCGTCTCGCAGCCAGCCTCCTCCACGACACTCTCTGGAGATGGCGCGAGAACTTTGGAGGGCAACGAAGTGGTCGAGCCAGCGCTGCCCCTCAATGCGACAACGGAGCTTCTTCCTCGTTTGCGCCATTCGCAAGCAATGCAGGCAGTGGCGATACAAATGCGGCCTGCGCAGAAAGAAACGGAGAACAGACCCTCGGTTCAGACGTCCTCGCTGCTCAGATCGACACCGGTTCAAGAGGTCCCAATGCTCCGGGCGCACCCCGTCCCGCGTCCGCGTGGCTCGAAGAACTAGGGGAGATGGACATGGGGTTACTCGAGGAGACCAACTACCAATGGTTCTGGAACCACAGTGGAATCTCGACTCTGATGGCGACAGACCTGGACGGCATGGAACTGCCCCCGGATTACATCTTCAACACCCAGCGAGGGCAGGAGCCTCCCGACTAGGCAGAACTGTCTTCTCATCGAGGCAGGGTTTTGGCAAGAATATGTCTCCTTTGAGGTCAGACAGTTGCAGTCCTTGCAGCACAGTGTCCACATTGTCGAGAATTTGGAAAGATTGATAGCTTCCAGGCCGAAGTCACTACTGTGAAATACGATGCGAATGTAATATGCTTTCTGGTTTCTTCGTCCCAATTGTCGAATTATCGTTAGCCGTCATGCTGGCAGCAATATTTCCATCCTCACCGTATAGACGTAGAAAGTGATCTTGAGGATTCACACACACAAGGCGCATCTAGAGGCCCTGATCACCATTGTCGGCACAGCAGACGATTAATAGTCAGCCAGTCAATAAACAAAGCAAGCAGACTCATCCATCCCGCTCCTGATGGTCATCCTGATCCTGACCCTGACCCTGACCTTGCTCCTGCGCGTACGGACCGACAACGGACCGCATTACGGCTTTCTAGTGATGCTGACGCGACGCGAACACACCTCGCAGCTCGAATCTCGAGCCCCAACCCCAGGCCGTTCCTGCGGCCGGGACAGCACCACAATGTCGGACGGACATCTGATTAATACATTTGTTTCGGCCCGCCAGTCATGTCCCGCTTGCGGCTTCTCGCTTTCTGTTTCACTGCTCACTATTTCGGTACATGGCCCGTTCTGAACAGGACGGGATGGGACGGGACAGGAGAGGAGAGGGGATCGACCCAGTGCTAGACTGCTCGTAGACCAGCGACAATGTGATATGCCATGCATGCCGGGAGTCGGAGGCAGACCCGTATCTTCTGGCCCAAACGCGAGGATAGTGAGAGAGGAGTATTTCTGGAAGATTTCATTTGTTGGCTCCGTTCGAACGGGCTGGGCAAGTTAAAGCGGAGCGGATGGGTGGCTTGGGATGGGGTGGACGAGGTATATAATATAGTATATATGTATATACACAACTGAGAAGTAATTGTAGCCTAAGGACAGCGTTCCACGAAGAAGGAAAAGTCCGGAGGATTTCTCCCTAGTCAAGAAAACACGGTTAAGGAAGCCACAGTCTGAAGGGCTATTCTCTTCAAGATCAAACTGTTGCCAGAGACACAAATAAGGAGTGCCAGTTACACTCGGTTCACGATGGGAAGCGCGGCAACTACGTTTACACCAACCGCTACCCAGACCTTCGACGTCATCGTCGTGGGAGGGGGCAACGCCGCCCTTGCAGCGGCACTCTCTGCCCACGACAGTGGTGCTCGTGTTCTTGTCCTAGAGGCCGCGCCCAAGGGAGAGCGCGCTGGCAACAGTCGCTTCGCAGGGACGGTTTTCCGGGCTCCGCACAAGGGCATGGAACATATCAAGACCTTGCTTTGTGAGGAGGCCATGGACGACACGAAGCTCTGCACCATTGGTCCATACACGGAGGAGATGTGTTTCGAGGACCTAGCCAAGACCTCCCATGGGCGGCTGGACAGGGACATTGCTGAGGTGTTGGTCCAGCAGGGCTGGGAGACGTTGGAGTGGATGAAGTCCAAGGGCCACAAGTGGGAGTTGATGATTCGGAAGTACCACAACGTCGAAAATCTGGCGGCGAGAGGGGAGACGATCAATATCTACGCCGGCGCTGCGGTCATGGCCGTTGGCGGCGGCGTGGGTCTCACGGATGCATGGTGGGCAGCTGCTGAAAGCCTCGTGCCTGGCGGGAGAATGACTCTATGGTACGACAGTCCCGTCCACGACCTCATCTGCACCGGAGACACAGTGCACGGAGTCAAGGTCCGACACCGCGATGCGTTCACAGACGTCTATGGCAAGGTGGTGCTCGCCAGCGGTGGTTTCTCGTCCAATCCGGCCATGCGTCGCCAATACCTCGGCGAAGGATGGGACTTGGTCCTCGTGCGTGGAACCAAGTACAATATGGGTACGATGCTCAACCGTGCCATTGCTGCGGGTGCTCGTCCGGTCGGTCATTGGGGCGCCGCCCACGCCTCTCCCCAGGACGCCAACGGCCCTCTGACGGGCGACATCGATGTCTCTGTGCATATGCCGCGGTATGCCTATCCGTACGGCATCACCGTCAATATCAAGGGCGAGCGATTCTTCGACGAAGGGGAAGACGACTTTGGCAAGACGTACGCAAAGACTGGCAAGAAGATTGCCGACCAGCCCGAGGCCCGGGCTTTCCAGATCTTTGACCAGCAAACAATTCACCTCTTACCAAAGCGATACCAGACGGCAACGCCCATCTACGCTGAGACCGTTCAGGAGCTCGCGCAGAAGACGGGCGTCAATGTTGCGGGTCTGCTGAAAACTATCAACACCTTCAATGCTGCCTGCTCCGGTGATGTTAGTAAATTCAACCCCACGAAGCTGGATGGGCTGAGAACGTCCTCGGAGGCGGATTTGCCATTTCCCAAGACCAATTGGGCCACAAGGATCGAGAAGGCTCCCTTTGTCGCATACGCTGTGGCATGCGGCATCACCTTCACATATGGAGGGATTGCCACAGACACCAAGGCCCGTGTGTTGAACAATGAGGGACGACCGATGCTGGGTCTATGGGCCACAGGGGAGATTGCTGGCGGCCTCTTCTACCACAACTATCCGGGAGGTGCTGGGCTGACCAAGGGAGCTGTCTTTGGCCGGATTGCTGGTCGTGAGGCCGCAGTCGCCGCCGCGAGAAGTTCTCAGGCCACCGAGTCAAATGCTGCTTGACGCATAGGTAGTTATGGGATTGATCATGCGAGGATTGCATTGACCTAGATAGATACCAATAATCATTAGCAGTGAGTTTCTGATTGTTTTTAGGTCATTCACCTGGCCAGTCTACCGTCCTCAAAATACGAAGTCCCTTGATTCTTTCGTTTTCATGTAGACACTTTCACAACAGTAGCTCTGACGAGAGGATGTGCTCAAGGCTGAACCTGGGACGAGATAGACTCAGCCTTGTTTGTGGTAATAAAGCAGCAAGGTCAGAAGAGTGCTCTTTGATAAGAATGTGGGCAGATTCCATAGGGCGGCGTATGATGCTTACCTGGTTAGGCTGGGCCGCATGCGCATGTCACCGAGTCTTGATATGCTTTCTTGAGATCACCCACTCCTGATTCCAAGTGATGCTGTAGCTTCCGACTCTTATCACTTGTTCTCACCCAACTTCATGTCTCTGTCTATGGCGAGATAACCTCGCTAATCACGCCAGATGGCCCTGCCCCTTCCAGGATCCCCTTCATCATCGTGGGCCATCTTCCTTGAGCGGCTCAAGCAAAGCTTCAGCGGCGCTGACCCTCGTGTCTGCGTCGCTTTCTGGCTCTTTGGTAAGTCTGCGTTGTGATAAGGCGGTAAGATTGTCACTCTTACTATTACAGTCTTGACAAAGAATTGGATGATGGGTATATCGAGACTAAAGTTGCGCAGGCCTAATCAACAATGTCCTCTACGTAATCATCCTCTCCGCTGCCCTTGACCTCGTCGGTCCCAATGTCCCCAAAGGAGTTGTCCTCCTCGCCGATGTGATCCCCTCCTTCGGGGTCAAACTATGCGCCCCTTATTTTATTCATGTCGTCCCCTACTCGATCCGAATCCTGGTCTTTGTGGTGCTCTCCGTGGCTGGCATGCTGTTGATCGCACTCACACCCGCTTACACAGATGGAGGAACAATCACCACTAAACTGGCTGGAGTGATTCTGGCATCGCTGAGTAGCGGTGGAGGGGAATTGAGCTTCTTGGGGCTGGTCCATTACTACGGTCCTTTTGGCCTGGCAGCATGGGGCAGCGGCACAGGAGGCGCTGGATTGATAGGAGCTGGAGCATACGCACTCGCAACTACAACTCTCGGCCTCAGCGTCGGCACCACACTACTGGCTTCTGCCTGCCTACCGGCTGTTATGCTGATCAGCTTCTTCCTCGTCCTCCCTCTGGAGCCTCTCCGATCACATTCCAAGAGACATCACAACAGTAATGCTCTGCTGCGGGATGACGACAGTGACGATCAAGAGCAAAGAGAGGGACTGCTTTCTTCTCCAGATGCCATCAAGCCGCCCTTTTCTTCGAAGTCCAGAATGACTGCGTGGTCGTTGTTCAGATATAACTTGAGCCGGGCGAAAGGGCTTTTCTTCCCTTACATGCTCCCGCTACTCATGGTATACGTGGCAGAATATACCGTTAACCAAGGCGTGGCACCGACTCTTCTGTTTCCGCTTCAGAGGAGCCCGTTCAAACATTTCCGAGCCTTCTACCCAACCTACAATGCGATATATCAAGCCGGGGTGTTCATATCTCGATCCTCGACACCGTTCCTCCGCATCCACAATCTATACTTGCCGTCCTTGTTGCAAGTGGTCAATCTGGCTGTCTTGACGCTACATGCGCTGTTTGACTTCATCCCTAATGTGTATATTGTCTTTGCAATCATTTTCTGGGAAGGCTTACTGGGAGGCCTCGTCTATGTCAACACGTTTGCCGAGATCAGCGAAACGGTGCCTAAAGAGGACCGCGAATTCTCCTTGTCGGCGACCACGGTGAGCGACTCGGGCGGGATCTGTATTGCGGGATTCATCGGCATGGCGTTTGAAGTTTGGTTATGCAATTGGCAGGTTCGGCATGGGAAAGACTACTGTAAGAAGTTGTGACGCGAGTCTGGAAGGATGCGGATGAGCTGGTTTATTTGCCTTTTTGGAGTTATGAGCATTATGATGCCGCGCCTTGATGAGGCTGTTTGGATATGAGTCCCGAACTGTGTGATAAGTGTAATGTCACCTTTAGGAGAGCCCGACCTGAAATACAACTCACAACAACCAGCCATCTTCCTAGGTTGTCAGCTCCTCAATGGATTGGTTGCGACTCGAAAGTCAGAAATGCACCATCTCTGCACACGGTCGATAGCGTCGAGGGCTATTCAAGGAACATGTTCCGTGCCGGAAACATGGCCGAACCGTATGTCGATAGTCAGAAAGCTAGATCTCAGACATGTGCAAAAGAAAGGAGCAAACAATGTGTAACGGTCAGGACGGAGTAAAGTGGATATGATATTGGGACCAACGAAGGGAAAATCTTGGAATGTTGTGAATTCAGCCTCTGTTTTCCTCGCCGCCTCAGGTACCAAATGATGCCTGCAGGGATTCCTCTTGTGATCATCATCTTCCCTCTTCAAATCGCCGGTTGTAAACACACTACCACCAATGCCTCTTCCGAACTCCATGTGCTTTACAAGGTTCAACTAACTCTGCGGGCTTATCGCATCCCGAGCCGCAGTCGTAGTGGGAATAGGAGGAGAGCTTCTGCTCCAGACTTACCGAAGTTTTTTTCTGGGTCTGGCTTGATATTACTACTTGACTGATCCTGGTCCGTTGTCTACTACTGCTCCCCCTTCGACCCTTCTCACAGGTAGCGGTGAGGCTGAGGGTTCCTCTCCGTTTGAGCTCAGCCCTACGCACCGAACAGCCGCCTCCTTCACCGCCAACGGGAAATACACGATCGATTGTCAACAGATTTACTTGAACCAAAGTACTGGTCAGAGTGCAAAACGTGGACTGAAAGACAGGCAGAGCGCAGCTTCGAGGAGCATGCGAGCAACAAACAACAAAATACCAACAAGCTCGGGATCTACATTGTGGAACAACGCCAGATTTGAACGAATGAGATCTTGACGATCGCCGCCTTATTAGATCGGAGGAGTTTCAGCCACTTTGGACCAAAGGCGCAGAGATGGATTTCAACTACAGCAAGCCTTACAGGGTTTCGAGGACAGTGCAGGGTATTAGTTGGACACACTCCGAAGTTGGACGTAACCCTCCCTTCCCTAACGCTTCAATCATGACGCGGAGACCAGATAATGGCGGACTCGATGAAATGCGATTCTCCCAACCACAACCTCAGCGTCAGCACCACGGGCAGCCGAGGGCACAGTGGTTGGCAGGAAAAGGACTGTCAACAGAAAGCCTCCGATTCGGTGGCCAGGCTGATTATGAGCATGATGATACAAGACCAGGTACGTGTGTGAGAGTGAATATGCAAAATGCTGTGCTTTGTGAGATTGTCAGCGAGCAAGGTCTCGAAGCCGCACCAATGAGAGAGGAGATATAATTACTCTGTCTGGGGGTTTGTCCAACCCAATGCGTGCCATCCCATGCACGTTCCCGCGAGTCCCCTACTTTTGTCAGCGTGCAGACGCTGGGCGTGTCATGCAACCGACGGGAACAGCCACAAGCAGAGGCAGAGGCAGGCAAGGAATAGAAGAAGAGGGAGCAGCAAGGACCAGCGCACTCGATTCTTCACCGTCTTCCCGACGCGAGGGTGTCGCCTTCTTCGCCCGGATACTCAGTACCGCATCGGCCACCGCCTTGTCGAGGAGAGGCCATACCATACCAAAAGAGCAAGGATCCCGTTCAGGGCCCAGAACCCCTTGAGAGGAAAGCGACGTCATTGGCAAGATAGACTTTGTGTGGGCTTGCTTGGGTTGGGCAGGCGTCCTTTTAGCTAACGAGGGAGGCGCATCCACTCCCCGGCACGCCCCTTGGGCCTCGGGAGACGCCAAACGAACACGCCTCTTCAAGGTCAGGCGTGGGCATGCCACCTGCAAGCCCTGCAGGCCGCCGCTGGAGCTTCTTCTGATCAGGCACACGGTATCCCTGTTTTGGGTGGATGACTTGGTTTGTTTGGATGACACCCATCGACACCCCCGTCAGTTGTCGCCTGGCCCCACCCACTTACTGACGAGCTGGGTACCTACTTGACCTACCGAGCTCTTGTACCTTGCCCTAGAATCCGCCCATCAGGACCAGTCCTTTGTTTTTTTGGGGGAGGAAAGGGCGGGATGCATGGGTCTGGGTCTGGGTATGGGCATGGAGGGACCACCCCCCCCTTAATGGGGATACCTAAGGTGCTAAGCTAGCTCGCTCAAGGGTCTGCTGGTTCCTTGCTTGCTTGCTTGTATCTCTTGCCTTGGTTGCTTGCCCCAGAGAGCTTTCTGCCCTTATTACCATCACCACTGATCGCTCGGCGTTCCACCTTTGCACCCAGATCCACCCCCGACTCGCTGGCGACTACGGCATCCACACCATCCCATCTGCGCATGATTCTTTCCATCCTATCCTCATCCTCGTCTTCACTCTTACCCTTCAATTCTCATCTTCCAACCCTTACACCCCTTCCAACGCAACATGCATTACCCTCCATCCCGTCTCTCTTTCGCGCACACACATTAACAGAACTCATTATTGTTGCCCATTTTTGCCACTACCGCCATACGCAGCACTCTTATGCATCGCTAACGTCTTGTTCCTTTTTTTCCGGCTCCAGTCGCGGCAGTATCCACATCGCATTCTGCGCAACCTCCGCATCACGATTTGCTACACCAGCGTCTCCTCCCTGGTGATCACCATCTAGTATTCCACCTCCCTTCACCTTTACCGGATCGCCCTCAATTTCACAATCCGGCCACAATGGCGATGCCAGGCCATTCACCCGCCTTCAATGGGCCCTCGAGTCCTTCTCGTTCATTCTCTGGTATGCATTCACTGCTCCCGGATCACTTTGCCTACCGTAATCAGGGTGCGCAGTGTCACGGGGGATCATGCGACGACTCATACTTCCATGTTTTTACTCTCCCACACTTACATTTCCTCTTCGCACCATGGCTTTCATTTTGCTGCCTTTTCTAACCTCTCTGTCCAGGCTACTCCGAACCTCAGCAGCCTCCAGCAATGTACGGCCATCCTCGCACCATGCTACCGCCGTCACCACAGCATTACCCTCCTCCACGATTTTCTCAGCCGCCGTTACCAGCGAACTCTGCTGCCATTGCCGTGAACAACGGCGCACCACCTCCCCATAAGAGGCCGGGGAGTAGCATGTCGATCTCGTCGATGCTGGGCTCGGAACCAGAAAAGCCGGCTCATGAGCAGTATCACAACCATAACCAGTCATCCAGACAACATTCAGGGCCTCTCTCACATCCCGGGCCCTCAATGTCACTGGGCGCAGTCATGTCACCGCCCCAGTACCCAACGAAACAGGGCCCGAGTGAATACTCGTACAAGCCAAGATCAAAAACTCCAGACAGATTGGCTGGACCAGCATTGGGGGCAAGACCGCATCGATCTAGTTCGGGAACCATGACCCAGCGACCAGGGCCATTCTATGAACCTCCACGGTCAGGGCCGAGTCAGTCAAATATGAACCCGTACCCCGAACCAAGATACACCCCGCCCTTTGGCCCAACGGTGATACCCAAGGATGAATTCGAGGACCGCAGCCGTCGCACAAGCCTTGGTGGTATTCTACAGCGACCGGAAAGTCAGCCCCAACCGATCAACATCTCACCACCATTCCCGCCCACGTCTCATCCTCCAGCTCGACCAGAGAGTATACCTCCCTCTCTTCCGCCCATCGACCGGGGCCCGGGCCAACCAATGAACGGCCACGATCCTCCACGTTCGAACGGGCTGACCGGCCCCTATGACACTCGTCCACCTAGCTTGCCAACTCTGTCTCGTCTTCCACAAACGGGACCTCCACTGCAGCCTGTGTCTGTGCCCCATGAACGTCCTGCCGCTCAGTCCCTCTCGCCCGACCTGAGACGCACGCAGCTAAATGGTGGCGAGGGCAGACTGGCCGGAATCCTCAATCAACAAGGCGATCCAATATACAGTGCTCCAAACATGATGCGACAAGACTCGGTGCAGTCGCTAAGCGACCGCTCCGTTCTTGGCGATCGCTTGCGAACTAACCGAGCCTACTCTCCTTTTGCTGGGTCGGTTGCTTCGGGGCCTGTGGATGAACAAGTCCGTAAGGGCAGTGAAGAGCTATCACAACACAGAGCCATTCTCGGCCTGGCAAACGAATCTAAACGTGGAAGATATTCACCTGTGCCTCAAGCGGTGCAAGGTGCCCAGGCTCAGACTCCAACACCGGATGCTGGCATTAAGAACGAACACGGTCGAGTCTTTGCTGGCATTGGAAGCGGTCTTGGTTCGACTTCCGCTGCCCCGACTCCCACACCGCAGGCTTTGCCCGCAAGTCCATTCAAGAGGGATGAAGGGGGTGCTCGCTTGAGTGAAGAGAACCTGATGAAGATGTCCCGAAGTAGCTCAGGAATCAGCAAACGCAACCGAAAGGTTTTGGACGAGGACGCCAGAGCGGAAAGTGACGTGGGCGAGGTGAAGAAGCCGGGGCCAGGGCGGGGAAAGAGAGGCAAATACTCGCATTCCTACAAGTTGGACCTTGAGGACACTCCAGCGGGACAGCGAAAGAACGGAGGCTTCCCAACATCAAATCCTGTTCGACGGGGAGGCACCCCGACTTCCAATGCTGCGCAACAACTTCACAACCCACAAATTCCACGGTCATCTTCGCCAGCAGTCCGAGCCACTTTCAGACCCAAGAAGGTCATCAGAATCTCCTCGGTTGTCGCACAAGCTCGACTGAACCCACGACGCCACCTTGGCTTCTTCAAATATGAACCTGTCATCGGCGTCCCCGACTTCAACCGAGCGCAACCGCAGAAATTTGACGTTTCCATCCAGCCCAATCTCCTACCATCCTTCAAGGACCCAGATCAGATCAATTGCACCTACACAGTAAAGGTGTCGAGTTTATGGCTTCAACAGAAAGAAAGGAACCTCATTGGCTG